ATCTGCCTACTGGGATTGTCAAGCTTCCGAGTCGCTAATCATTTGCTATTGTTGTCACCACGCCTCAGACTGTTCTCAGTACAGATAAGACTTCAGCAACTACCTGTGTGTTATTTTATTATACTGGTATTTATGTTTTATGGAGACCTGTGCATAATTGACTAATATCAGTAACACACCCACACACTAATGTTAATATATATATATATATATATATATATATATATATATATATATATATATATATATATATATATATATATATATATATATATATATATATATATATATATATATATATATATATATATATATATATATATATATATATATGACAGTGTCAGACCACGAAGGAAGGATTAATACAGGAATTTCCTTAAGTACTTTCATATTTAATAATACATCTTCAAAAGAATGGATTTACAATTCAGTGGTTGAGAATATATTGGCAGGAAAGAGGTGAGGCGAGGTACAATGTCTTTAATGATATATTCACAAGATATTAGTGAGAAAAGTGTGTGTCAGTGATCCTACTCAAATCGCCCTTTACTGATCAATCAAAAATATATCTAAATTATACAAACCACTGCTAATGTTCAAATTACATGATTTTGCAATCTGTATTAAAGAAGATTCAATAATGTTCCTATTGAAAATATTTTACAGTTATTGAAGAAAGCATCTCCCTATCAATTTGTTGTGAACTTTCAGACAAATGAACAAAACATTCGGCAATTTACCGTGTCTTACAGAGTATTTGTTGCAAAATTCTAAATTTCAAATCTTTGGAAGTTTGCTCTACATAGAACCTATTACAGTCTTTACACGGTAATTTGTAAATGACAATTATCACTACGAGAACACTCCAGTTGTCTAATGCTTTGTTTTGTTTCCTCTGAAAGTTCTCATCAAATTGATTGGTAGATGACTTCTTCAATGGCCGCCCTTCTTCTACGAGGGGGCCTCGTAGCCTGGTGGATAGCGCGCAGGACTCGTAATTCTGTGGCGCGGGTTCGATTCCCGCACGAGGCAGAAACAAATGGGCAGAGTTTCTTTCACCCTGAATGCCCCTGTTACCTAGCAGTAAATAGGTACCTGGGAGTTAGTCAGCTGTCACGGGCTGCTTCCTGGGGGTGGAGGCCTGGTCGAAGACCGGGAAGCGGGGACACTAAAGCCCCGAAATCATCTCAAGATAACTCAAGGTAACTATGATGAATTGTAAAATCACTTTCAATAGGAACATTATTGAATCTGCTTTGATACAGATTACAAAATCATGCAATTTGAACATTAGCAGTGGTTTGTATAATTTAGATCCATTTTTGATTGATCAGTAAACGGCGATTTGAGTAGGATCATTGACACACATTTATCTCACTAATATCTTATTAATATATCATTAAAGACATTGTACCTCGCCTCACCTCTTTCCTGCCAATATATCCTCAACCACTAAATTGTAAATCCATTCTTTTGAAGATGTATTATTAAATACGAAAGTACTTGAGGAAATTCCTGTATTAATCCTTCATGGTCTGACACTGTCACATTGTTCATCACGTTAATTTCTTCGTGATATATATATATATATATATATATATATATATATATATATATATATATATGTATGTATATATGTAATGTTAATATATTTATCAATATACAGATGTAAATTTATTTGTCTTAAGTTTTATAGACTAGTGGTGTGAGTTGTTGCTTGTGTGTGGTGAGGAGATCAGCTCCGCACCAGCCAGGTCATACTGTGCTTGCTTTCTTTGCTTTCCATTATGTATCAAGTTTCACCTAAAAATAAAGTTACTCATAAATGGTCATATTACTGAGTCATCTTGTGTGTGTGTGTAATAGTTGTGGTGCTCAGTGTGTAGGACACAGCTTTGGACGTGTGTGTGTGTGTTGGCCACAGCTTTGGACATGTGTGTGTGTTGGACACAGCTTTGGACGTGTGTGTGTTGGCCACAGGTGTGTACGTGTGTGTGTGTGTGTGTTGGACACAGCTTTGGACGCGTGTGTGTTGGCCACAGCTGTGGACGTGTGTGTGTGTGTTGGCCACAGCTGTGGACGTGTGTGTGTGTGTGTTGGCCACAGCTGTGGACGTGTGTGTGAGTGTGTGTGTTGGACACAGCTGTAGACGTGTGTGTGTTGGCCACAGGTGTGTACGTGTGTGTGTGTGTGTGTTGGCCACAGCTGTGGACGTGTGTGTGAGTGTGTGTGTTGGACACAGCTGTAGACGTGTGTGTGTTGGCCACAGGTGTGTACGTGTGTGTGTGTGTGTGTTGGCCACAGCTGTGGACGTGTGTGTTGGCCACAGCTGTGGACGTGTGTGTGTGTGTTGGCCACAGCTGTGGACGTGTGTGTGTGTGTGTGTTGGCCACAGCTGTGGACGTGTGTGTTGGCCACAGCTGTGGACGTGTGTGTGTGTGTTGGCCACAGCTGTGGACCTGTGTGTGTGTGTGTGTGTGTGTGTGTGTGTGTGTGTGTGTGTGTGTGTGTGTGTGTGTGTGTGTGTGTGTGTGTGTGTGTGTGTGTTGGCCACAGCTGTGGACACGTAAGCCAGCACAGTCAGCTGAACAGTCAGGCGCTGTGCCACGACTGAAGGACCGGTCTGTCCAATTGTGCTCGCAATATTACATTTTCTTACAGGCTATTTTATATAATCAAGAAGTTTGCTGAATGATCATGATATTGACCGTCTGTCAACATATCCATCTGTCAGTATGTTCATGGAAAAAAAAGTACAAATATATGTGAGAGCACCGAGATCAACCCCAATATTCCAAAGAGGCTGCTCAATTATATCCTCCTGCAAGTGTACCAAACTCACTACATTGAGGCAGGCGAGGAGTCACAATAACGTGGCTGAAGTATGTTGACCAGACCACACACTAGAAGGTGAAGGGACGACGACGTTTCGCTCCGTCCTGGACCATAATTAATAATTTGTATTAATAATTTGGTAAGCCAAATTATTAATACAAACCCATCTTCTTGGAATATTCGCTCTGTAGTGTTAACAGTGTATTACTTATTACTTATATAACTTATTTGGCAGGTATAGTACAAGCGGACATTATCGAGTCGACCTGATGCACCACGAGGCTACCTAAGTCATCTTAACTCCTCCCTACAAGGTTCCAGGATTGCCTGAAGGAAACTCGTGCCTGTTACCAGGCCTTTGCGACACTAGAGATAAGCCTTAACATTCAACTAACCTATGTAGTAACCTAACTAACATTTCGTAGCTTGTTACCCGCCACTGTTGATATACGCTACGTACGTACATAAATGTTATTTATTTATTTATTTATATATATACAAGAAGGTACATTGGGATTGTTAGGATACATAGCAGAGTAATTACATTCTTGTAAAGCCACTAGTACGCGCAGCGTTTCGGACAGGTCCTTAATCTAAGAAGGATTATCTAGGACTAAGAAGGACTAAGAAGGGATTATCCTTGTAGAAGGCTAATCCCCAACAACATAATACAGTCCATTTGCGTCATACAGTTCACTTCAATTAATTAATTTTAAAGTAGATTTCTACTAGTAATTTAACAGTACTAACTGTCAAACTTTGCCTTCGTTGCTGAGCTCGATCTCGATGGTCTCACAGTTCTTAAAGTGGTGATTGCAGGGCGGATACCCAGGATACAGGGGCCTCGTAGCCTGGTGGATAGCGCGCAGGACTCGTAATTCTGTGGCGCGGGTTCGATTCCCGCACGAGGCAGAAACAAACGGGCAAAGTTTCTTTCACCCTGAATGTCCCTGTTACCTAGCAGTAAATAGGTACCTGGGTGTTAGTCAGCTGTCACGGGCTGCTTCCTGGGGGTGGAGGCCTGGTCGAGGACCGGGCCGCGGGGACACTAAAGCCCCGAAATCATCTCAAGATAACCTCAAGATATGGACCCCTGGGGGAGCCCCGTCTGGTCGGGTGTCCTATCCTCTAACTGTGGCTCCATGGTGGGTATGGGGGCTTATTCGTGAACGAACTTTATACCTGTTCATTGACCAGACCACACACTAGAAGGCGAAGGGACGACGACGACGTTTCGGTCCGTCCTGGACCATTCACAATGGACTTGAGAATTGTCCAGGACGGACCAAAACGTCGTCGTCCCTTCACCTTCTAGTGTGTGGTCTGGTCAACATACTTTAGCCACGTTATTGTGACTCATCGCCTGCTTTTTATCTGTTCGTTTTATGCCGACTTCTGACCCTCATTCTCAGACTCGTGGGGTGGGCGACCCCCTGCAGCCAGATTCACGAAGCAGTTACGCAAGTACTTACGAACCTGTACATTTTTTCTCAATCTTTGGCGGCTTTGTTTACAATTATTAAACAGTTAATAAACTCCGAAGCACTAGGAGGCTGTTTATAACAATAACAACAGTTGATTGGCAAGTTTTCATGCTTGTAAACTGTTTAATAAATGTAAACAAAGCCGTCAAAGATTGAGGAAAGATGTACACGTTCGTAACTACTTGCGTAACTGCTTCTTGAATCGGGCCCCTGGTGAGCAAGTTTACATACTACTAGTAAGTAGGAGTGTGTAAAATCAATCAAGTACAGGCGACTGGAAGGTCAATAAACCTTTTGTTCCCATAGCGTCTGAGACGCATGGCCCCTGATGGTAGGAGTTATCTTGAGATGATTTCGAGGCTTTAGTGTCCCCGCGGCCCGGTCCTCGACCAGGCCTCCACCCCCAGGAAGCAGCCCGTGACAGCTGACTAACACCCAGGTACCTATTTTACTGCTAGGTAACAGGGGCATAGGGTGAAAGAAACTCTGCCCATTGTTTCTCGCCGGCGCCTGGGATCGAACCCAGGACCACAGGATCACAAGTCCAGCGTGATCTAAAAACAGCACCTTTTGTGACCCTGTTTGTGTTCATTAACGTTGATAACTGGTTATCATTCGCTGGTTATCCTTCATGTTGCCTAGCAATATAAGAGGAGCGCTGGTAAAGGAGAAGACGTGTTATCACACTGAAGGTGTCCGCCACATCCTGAGGCCGTAGTCAAACACTTGCGTTAACGGGGCGGCCTCGTCCGTTGATCCCATCTCCGTTGCCAGTCTGTTGTGATATAACAGAAAACATGATATAACTTTCGTCCGTTGAAAAACCTTCTGTTTTATATGATATATGATACTAGAGACTGGACAAGGGATACTGAGCTCCTTACACGTGTTTCAAGTTGGAAATTAGCTTAGTGACTGAGTCCTTGCCCTCAGCCTCCAAGAAGTTCTTCAAGAGAGACATGGACTCTACGTACTCTAAGGTGTCAGCGAAGGTGACCTCTCTCTCCACCGTGAACTTTCCTTCACCATAACTGGAAAAGAGTCAACTTAAATGTCTCATAATCTTTTAATCTGTTGATATATTACATAATTTTGATCATAATTGTTTATCACAAAATTCATCTTTTAGGAGAATATGATGTTGGAAAATTCATCTTTTAGGAGAATATGATGTTGGAAAATTCATCTTTTAGGAGAATATGATGTTGGAAAATTCAGCTTTTAGGAGAATATGATGTTGGAAAATTCATCTTTTAGGAGAATATGATGTTGGAAAATTCAGCTTTTAGGAGAATATGATGTTGGAAAATTCATCTTTTAGGAGAATATGATGTTGGAAAATTCATCTTTTAGGAGAATATGATGTTGGAAAATTCAGCTTTTAGGAGAATATGATGTTGGAAAATTCATCTTTTAGGAGAATATGATGTTGGAAAATTCATCTTTTAGGAGAATATGATGTTGGAAAATTCATCTTTTAGGAGAATATGATGTTGGAAAATTCAGCTTTTAGGAGAATATGATGTTGGAAAATTCATCTTTTAGGAGAATATGATGTTGGAAAATTCAGCTTTTAGGAGAATATGATGTTGGAAAATTCATCTTTTAGGAGAATATGATGTTGGAAAATTCATCTTTTAGGAGAATATGATGTTGGAAAATTCAGCTTTTAGGAGAATATGATGTTGGAAAATTCAGCTTTTAGGAGAATATGATGTTGGAAAATTCATCTTTTAGGAGAATATGATGTTGGAAAATTCATCTTTTAGGAGAATATGATGTTGGAAAACTCATCTTTTAGGAGAATATGATGTTGGAAAATTCAGCTTTTAGGAGAATATGATGTTGGAAAACTCAGCTTTTAGGAGAATATGATGTTGGAAAATTCATCTTTTAGGAGAATATGATGTTGGAAAACTCAGCTTTTAGGAGAATATGATGTTGGAAAACAGTTATTGGAGGAAGGAAGGAATTATCAGGGAAAGCACCAAGCCATTACGACTATATAGCACTTAGAAGGGATCAGGATAAAGATTTGGGATGGGACAGGTGGAAGGAATGGTGCCCAACCACTTGTGGACGGTCGGGGGATTGAACGCCGACCTGCCTGAAGCGAGACCGTCGCTCTACCATCCAGCCCAAGTGGTTGGGCAGTTATTGTAGGAGTAAACATTATTATGTTTTTTACAATAGACAGGCTCCTGAAACTTGCGAGTCTAGGAATGTTGTGTAAGTCTTTTACTTACGAATCCATTGAAAAAGCTTCTAAGACTATTGCTTCTTGCCGAGCATGGCAGCGTAGTTCCGACCGGCTGGGAGATCTGATGGACCGGCTCCCAACAGGGAGCCGGTCGGCCGAGCGGACAGCACGCAGGACTTGTGATCCTGTGGTCCCGGGTTCGATCCCGGGCGCCGGCGAGAAACAATGGGTAGAGTTTCTTTCACCCTATGCCCCTGTTACCTAGCAGTAAAATAGGTACCTGGGTGTTAGTCAGCTGTCACGGGCTGCTTCCTGGGGGTGGAGGCCTGGTCGAGGACCGGGCCGCGGGGACACTAAAGCCCCGAAATCATCTCAAGATAACCTCAAGATGGTTCCTAAGACACTCGGAAGATAATTGCTCTTCCTACAGTTAGTATATGTGGTAGACAACACCAGACCCATCATACAGCATCATGTGGTAGACAACGCCAGACCCATCATACAGCATCATGTGGTAGACAACACCAGACCCATCATACAGCATCATGTGGTAGACAACACCAGACCCATCATACAGCATCATGTGGTAGACAACGCCAGACCCATCATACAGCATCATGTGGTAGACAACGCCAGACCCATCATACAGCATCATGTGGTAGACAACACCAGACCCATCATACAGCATCATGTGGTAGACAACACCAGACTCATCATACAGCATCATGTGGTAGACAACGCCAGACCCATCATACAGCATCATGTGGTAGACAACACCAGACCCATCACACAGCATCATATGGTAGACAACACCAGACCCATCATACAGCATCATGTGGTAGACAACGCCAGACCCATCATACAGCATCATGTGGTAGACAACACCAGACCCATCATACAGCATCATGTGGTAGACAACACCAGACTCATCATACAGCATCATGTGGTAGACAACGCCAGACCCATCATACAGCATCATGTGGTAGACAACACCAGACCCATCACACAGCATCATGTGGTAGACAACACCAGACCCATCATACAGCATCATGTGGTAGACAACGCCAGACCCATCATACAGCATCATGTGGTAGACAACACCAGACCCATCATACAGCATCATGTGGTAGACAACACCAGACCCATCATACAGCATCATGTGGTAGACAACACCAGACCCATCATACAGCATCATGTGGTAGACAACACCAGACCCATCATACAGCATCATGTGGTAGACAACACCAGACCCATCACACAGCATCATGTGGTAGACAACACCAGACCCATCATACAGCATCATGTGGTAGACAACGCCAGACCCATCATACAGCATCATGTGGTAGACAACACCAGACCCATCATACAGCATCATGTGGTAGACAACACCAGACCCATCATACAGCATCATGTGGTAGACAACACCAGACCCATCATACAGCATCATGTGGTAGACAACACCAGACCCATCATACAGCATCATGTGGTAGACAACACCAGACCCATCATACAGCATCATGTGGTAGACAACACCAGACCCATCATACATGGGGATTCAATACTTTCCAGAATCTACTTGACTGTGACAAGAACACTTACTAAGGCGAGCCGTTATTTCCAGTTACACTCGTGTCTGAAAGGCCTGACACAAACTATTGTCCTTATTACATGTCTTTACTGATCGCTTTGTGAGCAGATTTTGTCGTGTCAGTCTCAGCAAATCTTCTCCAAGCATTGTCTTAGATGCTCGCAGTGAACGTTTTTTTTTGAACACGAAAAAAACGTGTTTTAATTATATGTAATGTTGCTAAGTTATTGGGATGTGTGAGAAGATACACACCTCGCCCACTCACCTTACTTCTTCATCAGAGAAAACTGGCAGAGTTGCAAGATTAGATTTTAGATGCACGATTCCTTTTGGCCAATATTGTTGTATAGACTCCAGGAACTATAAAGAGAAAATGTAGATTTAGTTCTTTGAATTATTTGTATTTTGTTTGGTATTAGGCTTTAGTTCTAGCTGCAGTAATGGTAAATAAACCCGTTAAGCTATAATTCTGACCACCAGTCTCTGACCAGTTTAGTCTCCGTGGTGTAGTGGTAAGACACTCGCCTGGCGTTCCGCGAGCGCTATGTCATGGGTTCGTATCCTGGCCGGGGAGGATTTACTGGGCGCAATTCCTTAACTGTAGCCTCTGTTTAACGCAACAGTAAAATGTGTACTTGGTTGTAACAACGATTCTTCGCGGCAGGGGATCGTATTCCAGGGACCTGCCCGAAACGCTACGCGTACTAGTGGCTGTACAAGAATGTAAAAACTCTTGTATATATCTCAACCAAGAATTGTGTAATCTTGAGTAAAGTTGAAGGATAAAGTCAACTCTCAGTTTTAAGACACTGAGAAGTTGGAGACCTTTGAGTGCTTCTTGCAGGCCGGCGATCAATCCCTGATAGTATCCTATGGTCACTGTTTCTTCCCTCTAGCCTCATATTCCAGCACTTAATGTTACATTATATCTCTTAGAGTTTTACATAAGTCATATTGCTATACACTTTCCTCTGATAATTACCTTACATTACTCTTGTATCATCTTTACAAGAGTATTAATAACAATACTTAAAAGAGGAGCAACAAAAACAGTATTTTAAGAAGACAGTTTATATATACTCACAGGAACAGAAACGATAAATGAATGACCTGCTTGATCGGGTTCTGGGAATTCATCCATTCCCCAAGCCCGGCCCGAGGCCAGGCTTGACTTGTGAGAGTTTGGTCCACCAGGCTGTTGCTTGGAGCGGCCCGAGGCCAGGCTTGACTTGTGAGAGTTTGGTCCACCAGGCTGTTGCTTGGAGCGGCCCGAGGCCAGGCTTGACTTGTGAGAGTTTGGTCCACCAGGCTGTTGCTTGGAGCGGCCCGAGGCCAGGCTTGACTTGTGAGAGTTTGGTCCACCAGGCTGTTGCTTGGAGCGGCCCGCAGGCCAGGCTTGACTTGTGAGAGTTTGGTCCACCAGGCTTGCTTGGAGCGGCCCGAGGCCAGGCTTGACTTGTGAGAGTTTGGTCCACCAGGCTGTTGCTTGGAGCGGCCCGAGGCCAGGCTTGACTTGTGAGAGTTTGGTCCACCAGGCTTTTGCTTGGACTTGACTTGTGAGAGTTTGGTCCACCAGGCTGCTGCTTGGAGCGGCCCGAGGCCAGGCTGGACTTGTGAGAGTTTGGTCCACCAGGCTGTTGCTTGGAGCGGCCCGAGGCCAGGCTTGACTTGTGAGAGTTTGGTCCACCAGGCTGTTGCTTGGAGCGGCCCGAGGCCAGGCTTGACTTGTGAGAGTTTGGTCCACCAGACTGTTGCTTGGAGCGGCCCGAGGCCAGGCTTGACTTGTGAGAGTTTGGCCCACCAGGCTGTTGCTTGGAGCGGTCCGAGGCCAGGCTTGACTTGTGAGAGTTTGGTCCACCAGGCTGTTGCTTGGAGCGGCCCGCAGGCCCACATACCGACCACAGCCCGGTTGGTCCGGCACTTCTTAAGAAAACAGTCCAGTTTCCTCTTGAAGATGTCCACGGTTGTTCCGGCAATATTTCTTATGCTCGCTGGGAGGACGTTGAACAACCGCGGACCTCTGATGTTTATACAGTGTTCTCTGATTGTGCCTATGGCACCTCTGCTCTTCACTGGTTCTATTCTGCTTCTATTATGACAGCAACAATTACGGAACACTTAACAGAACATAGACAATAGTTGAACATCAATGACAGTATATTTACTAGAAGCTGATTCAAAGCTAAATTATAAATTTAAATCGTGAATAAAAAATATTAACCCACATTTTTGAAAACCCAAAGAAACGTACACTGTATATTTCGGTCACAAACCTGGACCCTCTTCAGCAGTGAGCGAGAATGACAGCTGAAGCTGCTTTAATGGTGTCCTGGGAAGAGGTGTAAGCATTAGGTAATAACTTCCTTGTTATATAACCGCTCACTAAATCAGGTAACCACTGAACAAATCCACAAGGGCCGTGACGAGGATTCGAACCTACGTTCGAGATCATCCCAGACGCTGCCTTAATCGACAGAGCTTCGACATGGTCAAAAGGAGTTGAAACCAGAAGTTGTACCTAACTTACTCGGCTCCTGCAGCCTCCCCGAGACACAAACCAGGGTTTTACACAACTCCCCCCATGCACTCGAGCTATGTCAATAGGCCGTTCTACCTCTTCGCCCTTACTTCATTACACACAGAAATCACAATAGCGTGACGTTGATGCATCACACTATTTAGATTTCTGTGTGGAACTGGTAACCACTGCCTTGGGGATACATTAAAATTTTTATTATTGTTTATAAAGGTAGAATCTATTATTTTCCTTCTGAAGCCACAGTGTTGGAGATAAGTTATACATTAATTATCACATATAATTTTGTGCTCGGTCTCACTCGCATGTTAATATAACGCTGAGCTTTCTTGACCATATCTAACAGCTGCTTGGCCATAATAAACTTGATTACAATAATTTTAAGGAATCTTATCGATTCCAGCCCTCTCAGTTTTATTTATTTTTTGACGTTAGCTAATTCCTTGCTGACTTTATTTGGGTATTTAAAAATTAATTTTATTTTACTTAAGCTTAAGTTCTTAGCCGTATCCTCGATGATAAAACTCTATGGAATGATGAAGCAGTTCTTAGACACGATCTCCTGCCGCCTAGTATTGGTAATCTAGAAGAAATTTGCTTTGGCATCTTTTAAAGCTTCGCCCGGGAACCAATTAGTCTCCTAGTTTGAGTTAGTTGTATATTTTATTGAATAAAAGCAGATCCACCTTGCCTTATCTTGAGGTTACCTTTAGGTGCTTCCGGGGCTTAGCGTCCCCGCGGCCCGGTCGTCGACCGTTATCGCTCACTGCTGAAGAGGGTCCCGATTTAGGCCCGAAATATACAGTCTGGGTTTCTTTGTGTTTTCAAAATAGTGGGTTATTATTTTAATTTTTAGTGCACTATTACACTTCATTCTCATTTATGAGTAGACTTAGTCTATCAATTTTAAAGTACATTATGGGTTTTAAGTAAGAGAAAGGTAATATAATAGCCTAACCCTATTATAATAATTAATTATACAATGTATTTTGAGTGAATTAAATTTAAATTAGTTTACTTTAATTTTTATTACATTAAAAGATAATATAATAAATATTAAACAAATAATATAAAACTTCAAATTAATATGACACAACAACTTTAAAAGATAACTAACATAAACTAAATATAACGTGAAAGTATAAGATTAATATAAACTAACTAGAAGGTGAAGGGACGACGACGTTTCGGTCCGTCCTGGACCATTCTCAATCGACTTGAGAATGGTCCAGAACGGACCGAAACGTCGTCGTCCCTTTACCTTCTAGTGTGTGGTCTGGTCAACATACTTTAGCCACGTTATTGTGACTCATCGCCTGCGTAAACTATAACATGACATTATAACTAACACTAAACTAGCCGCCAGATGATAGAAATGTACAGAGATATATTATTTTACCCCAGATGGGAATACATTTAACGAGATCTAATAACTAAAAGAACAACAATTACCTGTTCAAAAGTTTGACTTAAATTTTTGCCGCGATAGATGGGTGAGAATATATGGTAGCTGTAGCAGGCGAGCACCCCGCCTGGCCTCAACACTCGCCTCACCTGTTGCCAAATACATTTACATATTAACTTCTGGCTGACGCCATTACGGGCTCACCATAGCCCGTGCTACATGGCTATTTCATTCTGAGTGGCTAAATCTACAGGAACAACGACAGACTACGGAAAATGGAGCCTTTAAATACAAATACTCGCCAACAGAACCTAAACACCTAACCTAACCTAACCTAACCTAACCTAACCTAACCTAACCTAACCTAACCTAAACACCTAACCTAACCTAACCTAACCTAACCTAACCTAACCTAACCAATGCCTAAATATGCACAGTATACTAATATATAACAATAATAATTTATATTTGAAAAAATTCCTGTTTTGAATGACCAGCATGTGAACATTTATGAATGCTTCTTAACGCTGCATGGAATGGACTTGGTCTAAGGCAGACTGTTCTCGCACACAAAGGTCCAAGCACGTTAATCCAGCCGCCAAACCCCCTGTTTATGAATGAAAAGCGGTTTACACGTGACTCACAACTGATGACATCCGAACACTTCCAGAACAAGTGATTCGCTCACGTCCACTGTTCGAACCACAATTCTATAAACAGCCTGTCCTCCAAACAAAGATCCAAAAGTGATTCCATGCACCTGCCAAACCCACTGTTTATGAATGAAAAGCGGTTTACACACGACTCATAACTGCTGACGTTCGAACACTTCCACAACAAGTGCTTCACTGACGAATTTTGTTCGAATCACAACGCTGTAAATGCTTCACCCACGTACTACAAATACAAATAATCGCCAACAGAACCTAAACACCTAACCTAACCTATCCTATGCCTATATATACACAATATGCTAATATATCATAATATTAATTTATACTTGAGAAAATTCCCGTTTTGAATGAACAGCATGTTAAAATTTATGAATGCGTCTGTGGGGTTGACCGCTGGATGGAATGGACTTGAGTCGAGGACGGGTTGCTATAAATGCTTCACCCACGAACTTATAACTACACATAATCCCTAACAAAACCTAAACACCTAACCTAATTATGTCTAACTATACATAGAATTCTTATTATAATATTATTTTTTATATGAGAACAAAGTAATTTATAATATACAGTATGTTAAAATTGATGAATGCGTTTGGGGAGGATGGCTGCTGCTTTAACCAGCCTAGTGTGAGGACGGGTTGCCTGGGGAGGACGGCCGCTGCTTTAACCAGCCTAGTGTGAGAACGGGTTGTCTGCGGAGGACGACCGCTGCTTTAACCAGCCTAGTGTGAGAATGGGTTGTCTAGGGAGGACGACCGCTGCTTTAACCAGCCTAGTGTGAGAACGACCGCTGCTTTAACCAGCCTAGTGTGAGAACGGGTTGTCTGGGGAGAACGGCCGCTGCTTTAACCAGCCTAGTGTGAGAACGGGTTGTCTGGGGAGGACGACCGCTGCTTTAACTAGCCTAGTGTGAGGACGGGTTGTCTGGGGAGGACGACCGCTGCTTTTACCAGCCTAGTGTGAGGACGGGTTGTCTGGGGAGGACAACCGCTGGTTTAACCAGCTTAGTGTGAGAACGGGTTGTCTGGGAAGGACGGTCGCTGCTTTAACCAGCCTAGCGTGAGGACGTGCCGGCGAGGACACGCGAACAGCACCAGCGGATATTTCTCAGTGATGTATATCCCATTAGTGTGATTTTCTTTATGTAATATTTTTTATGACACATGGAAAATAACATTAAGGTGTGCATTTAACTTTATGTGATTGTGTCAAAAATATGATGAATTTATTATTAATATTGGAGGTTAACTTTATATTTTCTAAACAGCTTTCGTAGGGATAACTATGATAAATCAGTCAATTTCCAGGCTACGTCAGTGTAAGATTATACATGGAACGTCACTGGTGTAAGATTATACATGGAACGTCACTGGTGTAAGAGTATACATGGAACGTCACTGGTGTAAGATTATACATGGAACGTCACTGGTGTAAGAGTATACATGGAACGTCAGTATAAGATTACGTGCCACCAGTGTGGGTGAGGACTCAGGATGAGTTAATGTGAATATATGAGAATATGAGTAAAGTAAATATGAGTCAACTCATCTAAACCTCTGAGTAGAAGGCATCCAAGTCGAACCAGTGTACAGAGATGCAGCAGGTGACCAGGTCGACGGACGCACTTTCCACGGGTAACTGCTCGGCCAGACCAACTCTATTGAAGCATTGAAATATTTCAAATGCTTTGACTCGAATTGTAAAATATTCAGTGTTAAGACAAATATTAAGAGTAATATCAATAACGGATAATAGTAATTCATTATTGCTCTAGGGGGCCAGATTCACGAAAGCACTTACGAACCTGTCCATCTTTTCTCAATCTTTGGCGGCTTTGTTTACAATTATTAAACAGTTAATGAGCTCGGAAGCACCAGGAGGCTGTTTATAACAATAACAACAGTTGAATGGCAAGTTTTCATGCTTGTAAACTGTTTAATAAATGTAACCAAAGCCGTCAAAGATTGAGGAAAGATGTACACGTTCGTAAGTGCTTTCGTGAATCTGGCTCCTATCTAACCTTAAAGTTCCAAATGGAACTTTGCGATGTATCCAGCATTACAACTGGAACAATAATACATATATAGATACTATTATCTATATAGATAGATACTAGAGCACAGAATTAGGACTGGATTACCATTATCTAAGCCAGTATTCTAAGGGATTAGAAATCATTGTTATGAGGTGAATTATTTACTGCTGGAATCCGATTTTAAAATTATTGACACTTGCATGAATGGACAGTCGGATTTGAGAATAATTGAATCCTTATATAACTGGCAGCTGTGGCCTCTGCGAAATATTAAGGGTTCAGCCGTTTAACTGTATAATTCATTGTAGGTTTTTGATTTATAGTTAATGTTGACGTCCTTATTATTTGCTTTAGTCTCCCTTCCATTGTGTGTTTTTTTTTTACTCATTTCAAGTGTTGATATTTGGTATTGTTGTATTTGTGTAATTAAGAGATAATACAATTTTTTGGTATTTAGATTTTGTGCAATATTTATGTTTCTTACAAGCTTTTAATTAATTATTTATAACGGTTTTAAATTTGTTTGCGTTTTATATAAAATTTCTGTATCTGTGTAGTTATTATTATAATTTGTTATTAAACTTTGAGTATCGTTTTGAATAAAATCTAGGGTAACTTTTTTTCATCACTTCACGTAAGTTTAATAGTGTTTTGTTTTGTAACTTGTGTCGTTTTAAATCTCTTCTTTTGATAGTTTTTTGTCCAATATGAGTCCTTTGTTTGCTGCTTATTTTAATACAATTGTATTCTTTTAGACTGATAATGAATACGAGAAGTATTCGTAACGTCATGAATTTTACGAAAAATTAAAGAAGAATTTTATATTAAGATGATGTATATTATGCAAATCGTTTGCCTGTTTATATATATAATCTCTATCGCCACCTATTTCTCCATCTGTCCACTTATACGCCTATCCATCTACCATATTTATTCATCCACATATCCATCTATCTATAAATCTTCGTAGGAGCCGTGATCAGGGTTCGAACCTATGCGGAGGGTGTGGGGTGGTGGAACCCTTGTGAGCTCAGTAGAGCTCCAGGTTGCAATCCTGTTGACCACTTCTTGGTCTGGTTGACTAGGGCGTGTGCGTGGGAACATCCCCGCGTAGGTTCGAATCCTTATCACGGCTCCTACGGATTTTCTCAATATATATTTTTGATAGAAGGGAGAGAGGGGGAAGGGGGGCAGATAGATGGATAAATAGATGGATAGATTGGAGACAGACTCAAGCAATGCTGGGTAACCCTCCCCCCTCCCTTAGTCTATTCTACAAGAGAGAAGGTCTGTCTGTCCAGAGTTAGGGGCTAGATGTTTGTGGCTAGCCTCACCCAAATTTGCAAAGGGAATAGTGTGGGGTACAGGGCGGACATAGACAAGTTGGGGTACGCCTGAGTTCAATACTTTAGATCCCCCCCCCCCTCCCTGTTCAGCTCGTTGTTGCCGTGAGGGGGGCTTGGTGGGCGGCTGCCGGAGTGTGATGCTCCTTGGGACAGTCCTCTGTCCTTCTGTAGCCTTGTGCTCCTGCTGCTGTCCTCTCTAATTGTGCTGAACGACTTTTCCTTTTCCTTCTGTTTCGTTTTTCTCCCCCCCTCTTCTCCTATCTGCTTGTCGTTTCCTGCTGACCTTTTGCTTGTTTTGGTTCTTCCTTTGGACTTCTTCTATTTTGACGCCCGGGTGCTTGAGGAGGCATACTCTTGCACCCGTAGAACTGTAGTACCCAACGTCGAGAGCGAGGGGAACCTTTTATTGTCAATCCCCCTTTCGTCACTGAACCCGATCTCGACGGACTGACGGTTCTTAAGGTGGCGTTTGTGGGGCGTATACTCACGACGCACCCCTAGGGGGCCCCGGCATGATCGGTGATAGCTTCTTGTTGGGTGTCCTGCCTCTAATTGTGGCTCCATGGTGGGTGTGGGGGCACATTCGTGGATGAAAATTCTCTTCATATTTATGTTGTTGAATGTTTCTCTTGTACCCTCTGAGGCTCGTGGGGTGGGTGACCAAGCCCCCGAGTTGGACTATTGGAAGACCAGGCTCTGTAGCCCCCGCTGCATTGGGCCCCGACCTTGCTCCTCCTTTGGCCCTCCTGACTTCTTCCCTCGGCTCCCCTCCCTCTTCTGTGGTTGCGTCGAGCCTCAAGCCCCCAGTGGTGACATTTCGTCCCCTGGCGCGGCTAAGTCTCTTGTTGTGACTACTGCGCCTTTTAACCCCTCCTTCTCTGGGGGTTCTCAACGCTGTCCACGCCACGGCCACACTCGCTTGATTCCTTCCCGTACTGATGCGTATCAAGCCTTGTTTGGTCCCGCTTCATGGGCCAAATACTTTGATCTCACCCCTCTTGATTCTATGCCTCCTGACGATTTCTCCCTCCATCGGCATCTTGTTGATTCCATGGATGCCTCTGTTATCTTCAACCCCACTCGTCTCGGTACACGTGTCGTTGCTGCTCCTTCTCAGGATGAAGCTTCCTGCTTGGCTGCCTTATCCTGCCTTGGCGAGACCCCTGTTCGGGTCTCAAAGAATGCTTGGTTGAATGCCAGTGTTGGCACTATTCTGCTCCCGCCCCATGTTGCGACCAGTGTTCGGAATCTGCAGGACTGCCACGATGATATTCGGCATGTCCTCGATGCCCAAGACCATTCTGTCCTCCAGGTAGACACGTTTACTCGTCCCCCTCGTGGTCGTCGTCGCCAACCCTTTCAGGTTGTGAAGATTACCTTTGATGGTAGGACCCTTCCTCCCTCTGTCATTCTTGCTGGTGCCAGGTGCTCCGTCCAGGAGTACATTCCCTCTCCTAGGCTCTGTAACAAGTGCTGGAGGTTTGGGCATGGTGCCCTCCGCTGCTCTGGGACTGTCTCTCTCTGTCCTTTGTGTGGAGGCGAAGGTCATTTTAAGTCAGAGTGCACTTCTCCCCAGGCTCGCTGCCTCAACTGCGGTGAGGCCCATCCTACCTTCTCCCGTGCGTGTGTCCATTACAAGCTTGAGGCAGCCGTCCTCAACTTGAAGCACCGGGAGCGTTTATCTTTTCCTGAGGCGAGGCGCCAGGTTCGCCGGCTCCCACCTTATGCTAACGTCTCTTATGCTCACATTTTGCGCTCTTCCTCGCCTCGTCCTTCCCACCTTCCTCAGACTCAAAACTGTTTCCGGGCCTTGGACCCTGATACGCCCACCGCCCCCTTTGTTCCAATAGGTTCTGTCCCAAAGGATCCCCCTCCTGGTCCTCTGTCTGGGGTTCCCCTTCTTCCTGCCCGGTCTGTCATATGTCTTATGTCTTCATCGTCTCCCTCCGATCCTCCTTCATATCCTTCTCCTCCGTCTATTGGCTCTCCACGCTGCCTGTCGGTATGGGCTGATGTCCATCGCTCTCCCAACGGCCGTCGTGTGTGCTCTCGTTCAGCTTCTGTTGAGACGCTGGAATTCGTTGCCCAGTACATAGTTGCTGGGACACCAGTCTCTTTGAGTCAGAAGCGTAAGCCTGGTTCCTCTCCTTCCTCCTCCCCGGTGGGTAAAAAGGCTTTGCTTTCTTCCTCGCCCCCTACTTCTGACTCTCTCGCTCCGTCCCCTCCCGTTTCGGTGGTTACGCCCCCTGTTCCTGCTATGGAGGTCTCTTTGACCCCCGCTTCCCTCTCGGTTGGTGCCCTTGCTGAAGTGCGTCCCCTTGTTTCTGTCCCTCCTGCTGCTGTCTTTGACCCTCGGTTATGCCCCCCTCTTCCTCCTCTGGACCCCTACTTGTCCGCCCCTGGTCGGTCCCCTAGCTCCCTTCCCTCCTTCTTTACTCAGTTTACCCATGCCCCCTAACCCGGACTTTGCTGACCCTGACCCTAATCCTGCGCTTCTTTAACGTGCTGTGTTCCCTTTTCGCCTTTGTTTCTTCGTTGTTCTCTGTTGCTGTCCTTCCTCTTCTCGTCAATGTATATTCTTCAATGGAACGTTCGTGGTTATTACGCCAATTTCCTCGAACTCCAGCTTCTGATTTCGCGGATTTTGCCCCTTTGTGTCTGTCTCCAGGAGCCGATGCTTGGTGCTCGTCCTGGTCGCTTTCATGGCTATTCCTTCCCCCCCCCCCCTCAGCTGTTGCTGGGGCTCCTAACTCTTCTGCTCTCTTGATTCGCTCTGATGTTCCCTTCGTCCCCTTACCTTTTCCATCTCCTCTCCATTGTTCTGCTGCTCGTATCTTTGTGATGATATGGAGCACCGTTTGTTCCATTTATCTCCCCCTGAGTGTCCTGCTTTCTCTTCCCAATCTGAAACACCTACTGGACTCCTTGCTGGAGCCTGTGCTCCTGCTGGGTGATTTCAATTGTCGTCATTCCCTTTGGGGTGATGTTCTGACGAACACCCGGGGTCGCCTTCTTGAGCCGTTAATCCTCTCTTCTTCCCTGTCTCTTTTTAATTCTGGTGAGCCCACGCATTTGGACTCTCGGACTCGCACCCTTTCCTGTCTTGATCTTTCTCTTTGCTCGTCTTCTCTTTACTTAGATTTCACGTGGCAGGTTCTTGATGACCTCCATGGCAGTGACCATTTCCCCATCCTTGTTACCTTTTTCTCTTTTCACCCTCCCACTCTCCTTCCCTAGGTGGCAGTTTGCTAAGGCAGACTGGAACCTATTTACCCTCAGTGCTGCTCTCTCTGACCTCTCCCTTCTGCCTCTCCTCCTTTTTCATGACATCGTCTTCAACGCTGCCCTCCGCTCTATTCCTCGCTCTTCCTTTTGGGGCCCACAGAAGTGCGTTCCCTGGTGGAATATGGACTGTGCTCGGGCTGTCCGCTGTAAGCGTGCAGCCTTGAAGAGACACCGCCGCCGGCAGACGGCCGATTCTTTTCTTTTATTTCGGAAAGCGAGTGCGGTGGCCCGTAGGGCCATCCGTATGGCTTAACGTAATTGTTGGGCATCTTATGTCTCCACTATTACGTCCGAAACTCCTCTGCCACAGATCTGGAAGCGTATCCGCAAGATAGCGGGTAAGTTCATTCCCGATGTCTCACTGGTCCTTCACCTCCGTGGTACTCTTGTGGTGGACCCGTTGCAGGTCACTACCGAACTGGGTTCCCACTTTTCTTCTGTTAGCTCTGGTTTTCATCTTCCCCAATCTTTCCTTCTTCGTAAACCTGCCCTTGAATCTTGTCCTTTGGATTTCTGTACTCATCTTCGCCTTCCCTATAACGATCCCTTCTCTCTCTCTGAACTTCGTTCTGCCCTGGCCCTCTGCGGTTCTACGGCGGCCGGTTCAGATGGCATTCATTATGAGATGCTTCACCATCTCCCTTCGTGCACGTCTCAGTATTTACTGACTCTGTATAATCGGATCTGGGAGTCGTCGTCAGTCCCTGAGAACTGGCTCGATGCCGTTGTCCTCCCTGTTCGCAAACTAGGGTCTCTGGGAACATCCCCTAAGGACTTTCGCCCTATTGCTCTCACAAGTTGTGTCTGCAAACTCTTTGAACGTATGGTTAACGTTCGTCTGATGTGGTTCTTTGAACACCATCACCTCCTATCCCCTTCTCAATTTGGTTTCCGCAAGTGCCGCAGCACTACAGATATCCTGGTGAACTTGGAGGTCTGTATTCGTACTGCTTTTGCTGCGAAGACCTCCATTGTTGCTGTCCTTTTTGACCTGGTAAAGACTTACGACACCACTTGGCGATATCGTATTCTATCCCAGCTTCATTCTTTTGGCCTTCATGGTCATCTCCCTCTCTTTCTCCGCAGCTTCATCTCTCATCGTTCCTTTCGGGTGAGGCTTGATATCGCTCTCTCTGCCTCTTTTCAGCAGTACGAAGGTGTGCCCCAGGGTAGTGTTCTGAGCACTACTCTTTTCCTGGTTGCCCTCAATGGTCTTCTTTCCTCTCTTCCTTCAGGCGTCTTCTCCGTTCTCTATGTCGATGATCTTAACCTTTGCTGTCAGGGTGATGATTCGCCTCTCCTTCAATGCCGGCTTCAACTTGTGATTGATGCTGTGTCGTCTTGAGCCACCGATCATGGCTTCAAGTTCTCTACTATTAAGACTTGTGCCATGACTTTTACTCGGAAACGAGTTGCTCTTCGTCCCTCTTTGTCGCTTTATGGTCATCCCCTTGAGTACAAAGATTCCGCAAAGCTTATGGGGTTGTTCTTTGACACTCGTTTGTCTTGTTCTCCCCATATCTTTTACCTCCATGTTAAGTGCTCTAAGGCCCTTACCCTCCTTCAGGTATTGTCCCATATTTCTTGGGGGGCAGATAGGCATGCTCTCCTCACTTTACATTCCTCTCTCGTCCTGTCTAAGTTCGATTATAGTTGCCCTGCTTACTCGTCTGCTTCTCCTTCTACTCTTCGCCGTCTTGATGCTTTGCACCATACTGGGTTGCGCCTCAGTTCTGGTGCCTTTCGTTCGACTCCTGTCCTTGGCTTGTATGTTGACACTGGGTTCCTATCTCTCCAGAACCACCATGATCGCTACTGTCTTCGCTATCTTGCGCGGTCCTTACAACATCCTTCCTCTCGCCTCTGTCGTGCTTTACCTTTTACCCCTCTTGATGTTGCTGTTCCTCTTCACCACCTCCCTCTTTCTGTCCGGTTATCTCGCTTGCAGGATTCTCTTTCCATTCGTATTTCTAATATTTCTCCTCGTGTTCCTTCTTTGCCCCCGTGGAGAGTCCCCCTTCCGCAGTTTTGTACATCCTTGATCCGCATCACTAAAGCTTTTACCCCTCTTATGGTTCTAAAACGCCTTTTCCTTGAGCACTTTTCTTCTTACTCCTGCTCCGTTTCCGTCTTCACCGATGGGTCTAAGTCTGCAGACGGTGTTGGCTACTCTGTTGTTTTTCCTGATTGCACTTATATGTGTCGCTTACCTCCGGAGATTAGCATCTTCACAGTAGAGCTTTATGCCATTCTCTATGCTCTTCGTCTCCTGCTTTCTCGTTGTCGATCTTCCTTTGTCGTTGTTGTTGACTCTCGTAGTGCCCTCATCGTTCTCGGATCCTTTAATCCGGTTCATCCAGTGGTTGTCGCGATCCAGCATTGGCTGTTTCTTGTTCACAGTAAATTTAAGTCGGTTGAGTTTTGTTGGGTTCCCAGCCATATTGGTGTCTCTTTAAATGAGCATGTGGATGCTGCTACCAGGGAAGCTGTCTGCTCTTGTCCCATCTCTCGTAAAGGTATTCCTTATTTCGACTTATAGCCGGTTATCAATTCCTCCATCCTTACCCATTGGCAGGCTTATTGGTCGTCTATTACTGGTAACGAACTATATACTCTTAAAAGTTGTGTCTCCTCGTGGCCGTCCTCCTGCCACCGTAACCGGCAATGGGAAACGGCTCTGGCGAGGTTGCGTATTGGCCATACTCGCTTGACTCATGATCACTTGATGGAGCGCCGCCCTGCTCCTTATTGTCCTAATTGCATTGTCCCTCTTACGGTCGTGCATATCCTTGTTGAATGTCCTGACTTCCAGGACGAGCGTGTGTCTTGTTTTCCGACCATCCCCCGTGGTCGCTTGTCTCTCGAGAGTATTCTTGGTGACTCGGATACTTTTGATGTCGTTCGCCTTATGCGTTTCTGTTCTCGTATTGGCATCCTTGGTGATATTTAGCGCCCTCTGATTATTCCGCACATTTGATGGTGCTACATAGCCTTCCTGGTTTGGTGCCTTCTTTTGATAATTACTTACTTACTCAATACTTTAGAAATATTAGCGATTATAAACATCCCCAGGCCACTTCCCATGGAGAAATTGGGTCTGTGATGAATGTGGAACTTTAATGGCATAATAGTTCAATATTTGAGATCTACACATTTATTTTAGTTTGTCTTAATAATACGTTTCTGAGACAAAATTAATATAGAAAACTGTTAACGATTCTTCGGGATAAATCAAAATTTGTATCACGTATAAGAGAGAGTAAAGCAAGATTAAGTGTGTTACATGAGACTTGACTGGATACGAACCTGTAGCTGACGTTGTGGTGTTGACTGTTGCTCCGGGCAGCAGCGATCTGTGCATCACTCACGTCCACACCCAAGACACGGGTGAAGTGGCGGCTGTAGAGCTCTGTGTTCTGGCCCGACCCGCACCCGGCGTCCACACACACCTCTAGCGGCGTCCTCTGCGGCCACACGCACGCACGCACACACACACATACATAATTAGCTGCTTTTAAAATTTCTTGACATTGGTATTAGTGTGCCACTACAACAATTGAAGTTAATGGATTACATTTTTCCAGCGTGTGACTTAATATACGATGGTAGGCACAAACATAATAGACATAAAGGAAGCATGCAGATGTAGGTGCCTATGAGAGTGGATTGGTTTCCGTGGTGCTGAGCTCTGGTCTTTAGGTAACTAGGAATGAGGGAAAGAAAAATGTTTGAGTTGGTGTATAAGTTGAGATATAAGCTCGTTTTCTTTATTTGTAAGCTTGCTTTATGTGGGTTGGTAAGTGACTAGAGGGCTAGATTCACGAAAGCACTTACGCAAGCACTTACGAACGTGTACATCTTTCCTCAATCTTTGAAGGCTTTGATAACATTTATTAAACAGTTTACAAGCATGAAAACTTGCCAATCAACTGTTGTTATTGTTATAAACAGCCTCCTGGTGCTTCCGAGCTCATTAACTGTTTAATAATTGTAAACAAAGCCGCCAAAGATTGAGAAAAGATGTACATGTTCGTAAGTGTTCTCGTGAATCTGGCCCCTGGACTCGAACGGCGGCCCCCACGCGTGTGAGGCCGAAGCTCTATCAACCGAGTCGATAGAGTTGAAAATTCGAAAGTAAAAACATCCAGTTTGACAGCAGGATGTTGCTTCTGGAATTTTTCCATATTAAAACTACTCAATAGCTCGGTCGTTAGAACTTCGGCCTCACACGCGTGGGGGCCACGGTTCGAGCCTCCTAGAGCCTAGCTTAATGGAAAGCGCTCCTTATGATTTTCACCTGGAGAGAGGCAAGTAGAACGTCGACTGTGACCCTACAGAGGGAGTGTTTTATTCAACTGTGCCAACGAAGTGGCTGTGGGCCCTCGTTTGTTGACGCTGATCAAATCTATAGTATCCAGTGAGGCGAGTAAGTGTTGCAGAAATGAATATCTCTGGTTACCCTATAGACAGTGAATATAGTGAACAGACTGTGATGGAGCCCTGTATCGAAACTGACCCAGCCAGTGAAACTGACTGTCGTAATATCTTCTTCCGTGCTCACCTAATTGGGCTTGCGGGGGTTGAGCTCTGGCTCTTTGGTCCCGCCTCTCAACCGTCAATCAACAGGTGTACAGGTTCCGTGGCAGTGAATCAGTGCACTGGACACCGACATAAGGCTGCCGAGGAAAAGGGTACATCTCGCAGAACGATGAGGGTCAAGGGAAATCCAGAGTTGACACCAGCGTTGGACGCCCCGCAGAATGTGTTTCCCCCCCCCCCCCTTGTGGGTCGAGAGGATGGGCGTGGGGTCACTAAGTTAAGTACTTCCTTGGGTCTGTGTTACCCAAGGAAGGGAGAGGATAAGTATGACGCCAGGGAGCAGCCAGGGATGTGCTGGCGGAACTTCAGTGAGCTGGTGACACATGGGAGCTACAAATCACTGCAGACATCATAATTTCCTAGCTAAGTAAACCGCCCTCCCCTTCCCTCCTTGTTGAATAGGCGTTCTCAAGGGAACGCGTAAGAATTTATCATTATATATGTATACCCTCAAGTGGTAAAATACATTGAGACTGTACATGGGAACAGAGTAATGTTAGTATTAATGACGGTCGAAAGCGGCCGTTGATTGCAGACTTGATAGAGGCTATCCAAGACAAATTATTAATTATTTATGTATTTCTTTGGTCCGTAAATGTTTTTTTTAGTTTTAAACGCTGTGTTTATATGTATCTTCACTACGGTTATGCTACGTCATTTATATGTGGCAAGCCTGACCGTAAGGTACTGACCACTCGAGGTCAGGAATAAAAATTTATGAAATCGAGGAACGTAGCCTCATGTTCAAGAGGACTAGGGAATAAAAATTTATGAAATCGAGGAACGTAGCCTCATGTTCAAGAGGACTAGGGAATAAAAATTTATGAAATCGAGGAACGTAGCCTCATGTTCAAGAGGACTAGGGAATAAAAATTTATGAAATCGAGGAACGTAGCCTCATGTTCAAGAGGACTAGGGAATAAAATTTATGAAATCGAGGAACGTAGCCTCATGTTCAAGAGGACTAGGGAATAAAAATTTATGAAATCGAGGAACGTAGCCTCATGTTCAAGAGGACTAGGGAATAAAAATTTATGAAATCGAGGAACGTAGCCTCATGTTCAAGAGGACTTGAGCAGAGAATTGAAGTCATTTCTTCCGCGCTGGGCGCAGCTGAGAACCCAAATGATCACAGGATAGCCAGGTGTCCGAGGTAGACACCACCTGTTCTCTGGGGACAGAAAGTAGCCTAGTGAGTCCCCCAAAGGTGCTACGAGGTCCCCGTGTTTTGGGCCTGGTGTACACGGGGGTTAAGCGCCGACTTTATCACGAGGGAAAGTGAGTACAGAGCCCACAGTTAAGATACTGTAAAGAAAGCAGTGACGGAGTGTCACCGATGGAGCTCGAAGAGAGACTGCTCTTTGTCTTCCCCCTGATACATGATATTAAGTAAATATTTCTTAGTCTCTCTTTTAAACTCGTTGGGAAATGTACAGCTTTTTATTAACACTGGATGTCATTCCACAATTTGGAACCCTTGGTTTGCAATGCAATTCTGCTTTGGTTGAGTCTTATTCAAGGAATATCAAAGCTATATTTGTTTCTCATGTGGTGACCGTGAGCTCTATTACAGCCTCATAGGAAGTGCTTAAGGTCCGGACTGGCATTGCAATTCAGAGTTTTATAGATGTAGAGAACCCTTGAGAGTATGTGCAGAGACTTGATATTTAACATGTCCAAGGAGTTCAGTAAGGGAGCAGAATTGTGTTTAATTCGTTATTTACAATATTAGAGAATGTGGGTTTGGGTTTGAGCTGATAAAGGTAGTATCGTCAACAAATTATAGGTTTAAGAACATTGGAGACATTCGGCAAGTCACTGATGACTATAAGAAATATAAGAGGCCCTAGGATACTGCCCTTTGGCACTCCTACGATTAATGTTAGAGTGGGGAAGGTTATGTCATTGATGGCCACATACTGGTGTCTGTCACTAAGATATGATCGAAGATAGTTCAGAGCAAGGCCTCGGATTCCATAATGATGAAGTTTAAGTAGGAGGTAATGATGATTTACAGCATGAAAGGCCTTTCTCAGAACAAATCCACAAGGGCCGTGACGTGGATTCGAACCTACGTCCAAGACCTTTCTCGGGTCAATGCAGAGGCCAATTGGGCACTCATCTTTGTCAAGGGCTTAGTAGATTATATTAAGCAGACTAATAATGGCATTATTGGTATTCTTTTGGGAACGGAAATCAAATTGGCAGGAACTTAATATGTTGAATTTTACAAAGTAGGAGGTTATGTTGAGTTGATTTCGGGGCTTTAGTGTCCCCGCGGCCCGGTCCTTGACCAGGCCTCCACCCCCAGGAAGCAGCCCGTGACAGCTGACTAACACCCCAGGTACCTATTTACTGCTAGGTAACAGGGGCATAGGGTAAAAGAAAGTCTGCCCATCGTTTCTCGCCGGCGCCCGGGATCGAACCCGGGACCACAGGATCACGTGTCCAGTCTATTGTCCGCTCGGCCGGCCGGCCCCCCTACTCCAACAGGAGTAGAGCTGTTTGTAAATAATTTTTCCAAATGTTTTTGAAAGTATAGGTTGATTTGATATTGGTCTGTAACTGTTTGTCAGCTGTCTCGCCTCTTTTATGAACTGAAGTTACTTTTGTTTTTTAAGGATATCTGGAAAAGTATGACACTAGAGAATTGTTGAATAGCAGAGCTATGGGTGGTGCAAGGGCATCTTCTTGAGGTTATCTTGAGATGATTTCGGGGCTTAGCGTCCCCGTGGCCCGGTCCTCGACCAGGCCTCCTTTTTGTTATCTCGAACCCATTGTTGATGTGATGACTTATATTGAATTTTGTAACTAGCTCATCAAGATTGTAACTTGCTTAGCTAAATGAATTGTGGGGTTCAGTCCCTGAGCCCATTATGTGCCTCTGTAACCCTTTCCACTACCGCCCACAAGATGGGTATGGGGTGCATAATAAATGAACTAAACTAACTACACCCCCTAGGAAGCCCGTAGCAGCTGTCTAACTCCCAGGTACCTATTTACTGCTAGGTAACAAGGGCATCAGGGTGAAAGAAACATTTTGCCCATTTGTCTCCGCCTCCACCGGGAATTGAACCCGGAACCTCAGAACTACGAATCCGAAGTTCTGTCCACCCAGTTGTAAGGCATTGGAGGCACTCTTGTATACCATAGATGTTATTTCACTAATGTTCCCGAATTTTGTTTTAAGTGATTGAGTTATGTATATAATGTCTGTCGGGCTGACTGGTAGGAGTAGAGAGTTAGGATAGCTGCCGTAAGATATTAGTAACATGTGTCTAGATCTCTGGAATGTTTCTGGCAAGGTTAGCACAAATTGATGAAAAGAAGCTATTGAATTCATTGACCTTTTCTAAGTTTGTTGCAAGTGTGTAACCATCTTTGGAGAATTTTATCTGCTTGTTATGTGATTGTTATTTAGCTCCTAAGATGTTAGAAATGGCTTACCATGTGTTTTTCATATTTTCTTTTGCTTCTTTGAATCTATTGTCATAATAGAAAAGTTTGCCTATTCTTATTACGATGGTAAACATTGATGAGTACCATTTAACTAGTTCTGTTAAAGTTCTGGGGCCAGATTCACGAAGCAGTTACGCAAGCACTTACGAACGTGTACATCTTTCCTCAATCTTTGACGGCTTTGGTTACATTTATTAAACAGTTTACAATCATGAAAACTTCCCAATTAACTGTTGTTATTGTTATAAACAGCCTCCTGGTGCTTCCGAGCTCATTAACTGTTTAATAATTGTAAACAAAGCCGCCAAAGATTGAGAAAAGATGTTCAGGTTCGTAAGTGTCTGCGTAACTTCTTCGTGAATCTAGCCCCTGTTCTGTTACTAGGCTTACCAACTTTCTGTTCTGTTACCAACCAACTTTAAGGTAAACGTATGGCATTATATTTGCGAGTCCGCGCATGTAAATGATTCTCATTTATAGTAAAGATATTAATACAAATGTTAACTTAAAACACCCACCATTTTTTCCTTGAGAAAGTTGATGACTGTGTTGATGAGGCTGTGAGGAGGCGCCGGGCGGCAGCGGACGTAATGCTTCACAATCTCCGGGTCTGAGAACGTCATATCAGCCATTGTTCCTCCACTCTAACAATTACAACAAATACAATTTGTAACATTACTGAGACATTATACACCTCACCCCAGGTCGGGGGAGTATACCTCCCTCACCTCAGGTCGGGGGAGTATACCTCCCGCACCCCAGGTCGGGGGAGTATACCTCTCTCACCCCAGGTCGGAGGAGTATACTTCCCTCAACCCAGGTCGGGGGAGTATCCTCCTTCACCCCAGGTCAGGGAGTATACCTCCCTCACCCCAGGTCGGGGGAGTATACCTCCCTCACCCCAGGTCGGGGGGAGTATACCTCCCTCACCCCAGGTCGGGCGGGGGAGTATACCTCCCCCACCCCAGGTCGTATACGACAGTAAGTGAAGAAAACAATGTTTATAAAAAGATGAGGAGGCTACCTTGGTTGAATCTCATCAACAGAATATGGGAGACAAGAACTCGACCACTCTCCTGGAATAGTATAGTTCCCATTCCAAACCCCAAAGCCCCAGGAAATCCAAGACCCATCTCATTAAAGTCCCAAGATAATAGAACAATAAATAGAATTTTAACAAATATTTTGACCAAAAGCCTATTTATAATCTTTCAAGTGTTCGGACATCAAGTTTCATGTTATATCTTTCATTTTGGTATCAAATTGTGTGCAATCTAAAGGCGCTTATTTTAAAACCACTACCAGATTGATCTGATAAAATTTAAATTTTTAACAAATATTTTAATGAGTGACTCAGTGCTGCGTCGTTGGAACCTATTCAGTAGAAGATTGAGTGACGAGATAGTCAGTCAGTGGAACCCGAAAGTGTATTAACAAGCTGTCTGGCTATAACTGCAGTAAGAATGGCCCTTAATCGAATTGAATGGAAAGCCAATCCACTGCACCAAAATATGTTTGCTTACAGAAAAGGTGTTGGGACCACAGAATGCCTTACCTCCCTCCTGGATCACATCAATGACACACCTGGAATCCTTATTTTTCTGGACCTTGAAAAAGCCTTTGAGCTTTCCAATACTTCAGCTACACTGAGCTGCCTGTATACAGATCGCTTCAGAGAAATGGAGGGTAGAAATAGCCTAAGCTACTCTATCCCTTTGAGTTGTATTTATTGCTTATCTCAATAAACATACTTGAACTTGAATTCAAAGAAATCTTCAATATAGAACAAGTGCATGAACGGATAATCTGGTCAAGATTCTAGAGAAAGTGGACTTGAAATGGACCATTAAAAACAAAGGGGAAGATAGACCATATCAACACTTTCGGCAGCCTCATCCATGGGAAGAATCGAGTCTAAAGATAATCATTGAAGGATTACCAGTTTAAAAACCAGCATGTGACTCGCAGAGGCTCAAAGCAGTCATAGAACAACAAATGGAAACCATCTCAAGACCGACAACGACTCACATCTTCACAGATGGATCAGTTGATCAAGAAAGAGGCTCTGGTGTTCCAGCAGTTTACACTACCAACCATGAAGCTTACTGGAGCAAGAATAGTGGCTGCTCAACATTGCAAACAATTACATGCCCTGAAAGAGGCCATAAATTATACAATTGAGAATAATTTACATAATGTCATTATTCATAACGACTCAAAATCTTCGCTCCAATCATTTAGCCAGATTCACGAAGAAGTTACGCAAGCACTTACGAACTTGTACATCTTTTCTCAATCCTTGGCGACTTAGTTTACAATTATTAAACAGTTAATGACCTCCAAAGCACCAGGAGGCTGTTTATAACAATAACAACAGTTGATTGGCAAGTTTTCATGCTTGTAAACTGTTTAATAAATGTAAACAAAGCCGTCAAAGATTGAGGAAAGATGAACACGTTCGCAAGTACTTGCGTAAGTGCTTTCGTGAATCTGGCCCCAGCTTATTACAGAAATCCTGCATATAGTAAAAGAAGCTCACAATCTAGAGTTACCAATCACCCTAAATTAATAGTGCAATCACTTGCACTAAAAGTAAATCTAAAGTAACGACACCAACAGCTACCTTAGGTTGGTAGCGTTGAGAGGCTGAGGGTTGGAGAGCGGTGGCGGGAGTGCGGTGCGGGCTTTGGGAGACCTTGCACCACACATCAGTGCTGTCACCGTGAGCAAGCGGCTCGTGGGGAGGAATGTGTTTAAGGAAGTGAGGCGGTGTGAGAAAATTCAGAATGAAACCATGAGGATAATTCTTGGAACCTCCGGGGGCCAGATTCACGAAAGCACTTACGAACGTGTACATCTTTCCTCAATCTTTGACGGCTTTGTTTACATTTATTAAACAGTTTATAAGCATGAAAACTTGCCAATCAACTGTTGTTATTGTTCTAAACAGCCTCCTGGTGCTTCGGAACTCATTAACTGTTTAATAATTGTAAACAAAGCCGCCAAAGATTGAGAAAAGATGGACAGGTTCGTAAGTGCTTGCGTAACTGCTTTCGTGAATCTGGCTCCAGATGCGCAAGAATTATCATCATGAGGGAGGAATTCTAAATTCTTTTTCAGAATTCCTGCTGAAGCAATAAGATGCTTATCTTAACATACCAAGAAGTTTAGGTAAGGTCGGTGTTTTCTATGAAGCTTTTCAAGGTAAAGTAGTATGTTTAGTATGTCACATATGCACGTATTTAATAAGTCAATATTGACTATACGAAAGTGCGAGAACGGGTTGATTCTATCACACTCTCAACCATATGTGATAGAATTGAGCAGCTCAATACTACCTTCTGTGTAAGGGTGATGAGGGATCCAATATCATCCTTGCTACTTAGAGAAGTTACTTACTACTTTACTTAGAGAAAAACTGACTAGTGCTGTTTGTAGGCGGGAAAGTGTTGCCAACGCACCAGCGGGCAACCTATATGCCAGCTGGCTGAGTAGCAGTGTTGCCAATCTCATTAAACTATATATTCCTATTGTATCCAGCGTACTAGCCAATGGTATCCCATTATATCTGTACCCTGAAATACAAGTGTCTTACATGTTCATCAACAAAAAGAGCAAGAAAACCCCATCATTCCTGAAAGCAACAACACTTGAAACCATTGATTCCTTTATAAATAACCTACAGCCTCACGAGCACTATGCTTACGCTGATGGGTCTGTTCAAATGTCAACAGGTCTCACTGCAGCAGTCTGTAGAATATACAAAGACAACATATGCACACAGACCACAAGTGTGAGACTGAATAACTGTCTTAGCTGCACACATGCAGAATTAGCTGCACTACAACTTGGCACTAACGCAGTGAAGAACAGTGGAGGCGAAATAGTGACTATAAGCAATGAGTCATATATGTGCTGTCTTGTGCGAGAGCAGGTTGCTTGGACCCAAAATGGACCCTTGTGGTACCCCACTCACTTCATTTCTCCAGTCAGATTCGTTTCCATTTAGCATAAAAATTTGTTTTCTTTGTTCAGCCATTGTTTTATCCATTCTAGTATTTTACCAATTATTACATGGGCCTGTAATTTCCTTGCTAGTCTTTCATGTGATACCTTATCAAAAGCTTTAGCAAAGTCCACGTATACCACATCCACCGGAAGTCCTTTGTCTAAGTAGCTGGTTACCGTTTCCAAAAATGTGAGCAAGTTTGTAAGGCAGGATCTGTTTTTAACAAACACATGTTGTGTCGATTGTACAAGATTGTTCACTGTAAAATGGTGAATGATTCCCACCCTTATGATTCTCTCCGTGAGCTTGCCTCTGTGTGGTGTCAAGCTGATAGGCCGGTAGTTTTCGGTTTAGCTCTTTCTGCCTTTTTTTTTTTAATAGGGGTGACATTTATATATTTCTATTCAAGGGGGGACTATCCCTTGGTCCAAAGATTTTGTGAAAAGTATTTTCAGCGGTAGGCATAGTTCTTCTGCCAATTCCTTTATAACTCTGGATTGAATTCCATTCACATCTTGGGCTATCTTCTTGAGATGTTATCGGAGCTTAGCGTCCCCGCGGCCCGGTTCTCGGCCAGGCCTCCTTTTTATTACACCCCCCCCCCCCCCCCAGGAAGCAGCCCGTAACAGCTGTCTAACTCCCAGGTACATTTTTACTGCTAGGTAACAGGGACATCAGGGGTAAAACAAACATTTTGTTCATTTGTCTCCGCCTCCACCGGGCATCGAACCCGGAACCTCAGGAATACGAATCCGAAACGCTGTCCACCTAGCGGTCAGGCTCTTGAGTCTTTCAGTTTGTCAATGTTCTTCCTGATTATTTCGCATGTTATGGGTATATCCCTAAATTCCTTCTCACCTCCTGCATACAGTTGTGTGGGTGATGGGATGTCATCTAACCCTCTTAGTGTTAACACTGATGTAAAATATTCATTTAGAGCATTTGCTGCTCTTTTGTGGTCCTTTATAACTTGGTTAGTCTCATCTGTTAAGGGTTCCAACCATGTGTAAATATTTCATTCAAAATGATCTGCTACAGAAATTTTAGCCAAATATCCCCAGTTTGCTAACTGTAGGTAGTAACTAAGTGATTGTAACCTCTCCACCGCTGCCCACTGGATGGGGGGCGGTGTGCAGGACAAACATGTCAATTGTGACACTAGGCTCTCCACATATGTCAGTTGCTTAATTTAGAAACTGTACTTGTGGTCGATCTCGAACCCATTGTTGATGTGACGACTTTTACTGAATTTTGTAACTTGCTTAAATAAATGAATTGTGGGGTTCAGTCCCTGAGCCCATTATGTGCCTCTGTAACCCTTTCCACTACCGCCCACGAGATGGGTATGGGGTGCATAATAAATGAACTAAACTAACTATTAAGGGTCCTACAGAGTCCTTTGTTTTGGTTCAACTTCTTATATATATACTCTCATAAACCCAATATTCTTCTTGTATCTATATAAATCAACAAATGCTCATTTTATAGCCTGTGTCATTCATCTTGTTCCCTTTCTCCTTTTCGGCATATTTTTGAACGAGTTCCGCGATGACCCTCTTGAAATTTTGTCATGAGGCTTTCATGCAATGTTCCCCTCTACTCCCTATGATGTGTTTTCCAGTTCTTCGCTCATTCTTTGACATTGTGTAATCTTTCATATATAATAGGGAAGCAGCACATTGCTATGTATACCTAAGTTTGTTAAAACAAAGACATTATTTGAGAGGAATCTTATAGAAACTGGTGAAAGATAATTGTAATATAATACATGTACTATTAAGTTTTAGTCTAGTATTTAGTCTTAATTAGTATTAAGTTTTAGTCTAAGTTTGTCCCCCACACCTTGCCCGGAACGCTGTACTTATTAGTGGCTTCAGGCATTGTATGTACGAGTTCTATCTATTAATGTTTGTATAACTCATTTTCAATATATGTACCTTTACCTGAATCTTATCTAATATTTCCATGATTCGGTGCTTACCTCTTACTAAGATCATTAAGTTATTATTTGGTCAAATTTAATTTATTTTTTGTATAGAGGCAGGTATTTTCTCCCCTGATTCCATGTATGACTAATCATCCTGTGAGATGAGAATATTAGATGAACTAATAGCTAGTTTTTTATCTACACTGTGTAATCTTTCATATAGAATAGAGTAGCAGGACATAAGCTTGTTACTAAAAATCATTCCTTGATAGTCTCCTTGATGGTAATCTAGAAAGTCAGTATAATTTATCTGTGTGTGGGGTTTCTATATTTGTAGTCGACCTTAAAATATGGCGATCACATGAGGCGGTAACCAAACCACACACTAGATATTGAAATTGAAACTGAAATAAGTTTATTGAGGTAAAATACACATAAAGGTATGAGGTAGCTCAAGTTATTCTCACCCCGTTCAGTACAACGTGTTCATACATATATAGACACACATCACAAACAATAAACATATTGCCGAACATTCTGAGAGATGAACATATACAATATTGAAGAGGCTACGACGTTTTGGTCCGTCCCGGACCATTATGAAGTCGATTGTGTGTGGTTTGGTCAAACCACACACAACCACTAGTTTGATAATTATAGTGTGTGGGTTGGTAAACATTTTTCATCCACGTTAGTTTTAGTTAGTTTAGTTCATTTATTATGCACCCCATACCCATCTTGTGGGCGATAGTGGTGTAGCGAGTAGATTATCCCAATAATATACTCGCTCCAAATATAGTGTTAATATTCCTGTCAACCTTTGGAGATGAATGAGGTGAGGCGTTGCCCGGGCAACACGGTGAGGTGTTGCCCGAGCAATATAAGCAGCGGTGTAGCGAACATTGGCTAGTCTACTTTCAAGTGTGGTCTAGAGCAGACACTTGCAAGATACTGTACCGACGCTCAGTGCGCTCAACTCACACCAAAGTATCACCTGTGTACTTCTGTATATTCGACCAAATATATATATAGTATCTTAGTGTCTGTGTTTATTTGTCACCATACTTTACGTAACAATAGAACCGTTACATTGGTGACCCCAGAGAGTTTCGACGATACCCAGCCACGATAGACTACAACATGGACTCTCACTGGACCTCCACTGCTGCTGCTTGCTGTGGACCGCAGCCACCTGTCGTGGAACGTTGCCAACACCCTTGCCACAGCTATGATTTTCATCGCGATCATCTCTGCATTTTCATCTACTACGGCTTGCTGCTCCACGATCACTACTCACTCATCTGGCAGCTTCATCAGTAACTACATAATGTGGGATCTACATCCTGCCCTGCCGACTCTCCGTCGCTGCCAGGGCACTGCTTGTTCTACAGGGACGCCCACGAAAGCTGCTCTTTCGTCAGATTCATCTACACGTTCACTGCATTTTGATACTCTGCCGACTCAAGCCCTTTGCGCAGGACTTACAGCTTGCGTTTCCGACTCTTCGTCGCCTCCAGGACAATTCAGCTCTAGCAGTGATTACCTCGTTGTCCTAACTACGTGCCTACATTACCTCCTAATGTCCTGGTGCCCGAGCCCATCCGCCCCGGATCTAAATGCTCCACCAGCGACCCAAGGACGCAACAATTATGCACATTCTTCTCTCCTGCTACACCGAGCTTGTCCACACACTGCCTACATCTTTTGGTACCAGACTACAATTTCCACAGTCAACAATGTAGTATTCGGCGTGTACAGTCCTAATCAACCCAAGACGCTACAGCTTCGACACAGCAGACAGCAGACTACGACCGCATCGAGCCGCCACGCTCTCGCTCCCCGAGTTTAGACACTCACAAATCTCAATCGAGCCACCACGCTCTCCCACATAGAGCTCCACGACTCCGGCCTCACTCAGCTCTCTGCTCTGCTCCAGGCTTCGTCTCAACGTCTGCGACACTGCTAAATCCAGAGACATCCGCCGACAACGCAGTTCACTTTTCGACCCCAATTACCAGCCGCACCACAACCTGATCCTACGACGACGGACGATCCTGGGCGACCTCCCACCCTACGACCCCAGTTAGATGACATCAGCGAAGAGGAGGAAGTTAACTTTGATGGTTATGTAACGCGAGCAGGGCGTACAATTCACCGACCAGCTAAGTTCCTTGATCAAGTATTTTTCCTTTCATCCCCTGGGAGGGGGAGTTCTGTAGCGAGTAGATTATCCCAATAATATACTCGCTCCAAATATAGTGTTAATATTCCTGTCAACCTTTGGAGATGAATGAGGTGAGGCGTTGCCCGGGCAACACGGTGAGGTGTTGCCCGAGCAATATAAGCAGCGGTGTAGCGAACATTGGCTAGTCTACTTTCAAGTGTGGTCTAGAGCAGACACTTGCAAGATACTGTACCGACGCTCAGTGCGCTCAACTCACACCAAAGTATCACCTGTGTACTTCTGTATATTCGACCAAATATATATATAGTATCTTAGTGTCTGTGTTTATTTGTCACCATACTTTACGTAACAATAGAACCGTTACAGTGGATAGGGTTACAGAGGCACATAATGGGCTCAGGGACTGAACCCCACAATTCATTTAGCTAAGCAAGTTACAATCTTGATGAGCTAGTTACAAAATTCAGTATAAGTCGTCACATCAACAATGGGTTCGAGATCGACCTCAAGTACAGCCACCTGAGCGTTAGTGGCCCTCAGGTAAAAACATTACTGACAGGGAAGCACTAATAAGTAGCTCTCTAAGATTTTTTTTTTTAGATTAAGTACCTGCCCGAAACGCTGCGCGTACTAGTGGCTTTACAAGAATGTAATTACTATGCTATGTATCCTCACAATCCCAATGTACCTTCTTGTATATATATAAATAAATAAATTAAAAACAAAATACTCTGTGCATTACAGATCTCAAAACAAGTTGGCCGTAATAAATATTACTTATAATTTATTCTCACAGATCGATTGTAAAAATGTAAAAATATAAATGCATTTGCATTTAAAATTCTTGTAAAAATGAATTTAAAATCCTTGTAAAAATGTAAATGCATCTTTGTGGTAGTTTGAGTGTGTGAATATGGTGAGTTGGTATGGTTTAGGCTGGTAGTACTGTTCCGAACCTTAATGGAATCGGACCCATATATCAATCAGGTCAACCCATGTGTTGCGTTTCCAAAAGGGTCGCCTATGTTAGAATCTGTGAACGCCCTAGTAATATTGTTGAAAACATCTTAATAACTTATTAAACCAAAGGTCTTTTTATGTCAGAAGAACGGCAGAAACTGGATCTATATATGAAAACTCTTTCAGGACAAAATTTAAAGTAAAACTAAAGATATTTGTAGCTGTATAAAAGTTGCATTTTTCATCGGTCGTAGAGCCGGAAATCCGCAATATTCATCTCAGAACAATGCTTATTTCACGCAGAATCGTTAATAAACGTAAGATTTTTATACGTCTCAAGAAAGATAGAAACATAATCTTCATTTTAAATGCCTTACCATGGGCATATTTGTATTTAAAGCGAAGATACGTGTATTTTTCTAATCGGCGAGCTCCGATCCCGCACAGATCGAGCAACGGAGTAACTCTCTCTCAGAACAATGCTTATTTCACGTAAATTCGTTAATAAACGCAAATGTTTTATATGTGTTGAGAAAGATAGAAATATAAGCTTCATTTTAAATACTTTACCATAGATATATATAAAGTTCTAATGAAGATACATGTGTTTTAATAATCGCCGAGCTCCGACCCCGCACAGACTGATCGACAGAGCAACTCTCTCAGAACAATGCTTATTTCACGTAAATTCATTAATAAACACATATGTTTTATATGTCTCAAGAAAGATAGGAATATAAGCTTCATTTTAAATACTTTAACATAGACATATATAAAGCTCAAGTGAAGATACATACGTTTTTATAGTGGCATTCAGTAGCTTGTCGGTCATGGAATGCAGAAGCCTACGCACTTGCCCAATATAGTGTGTAATTAACAAAGATACGCTTATAAAGCCTAAAATATTATATGCCTTCAGAAAGACAGAGATATGCTCGTTATTGTGAGTGCACCAAAGGAAATATATCTTGTTGGAGGACAAAGATATATCAATTCTAAAATAAGTTTCGACTCTCGCTCGGGCGAGAGATAGCGCGACTCTCGCCCCATCTATTGGAGATTCTGTTCACCTAATGACCCAAAGCTACTCAAAGCCTCCTAGCATTACTTAAATAATGAAGAAATATGGTATATTTATTCACTATAATGTTGGTGCTTAATGCAGATCACGAGAAAACATATATTTACTATAAAATAATATACTTCCATTATGAAATAAGTAAATATGTGGCCTCATAGGAAGTCAACGGTCCAGGTGTCAATGTTGTGGAGCGACTTATCCAAGATATATTGTTGTCTGGAAAGTGTTTGTTGGCATATCAACCTTCTGTACACAGTGATCCAGTCGTCGCACTTCTCTCCTTAAATGTTCGCAAATTTAGTTTATTATATTAACAAGTAGAATACGTATTTCTAATAATATCTAACATAACTAGCCAGAAAATATTTAAGACTTATTGAAAAATACATGTCTGGAAGTTAAGTCGACTTCATAGAACAATAGTGTTGGTCTTGTAGCGAGTAGATTATCCCAATAATATACTCGCTCCAAATATAGTGTTAATGTTCTTGTCAACCTTTGGAGATGAATGAGGTGAGGCGTTGCCCGGGCAACACGGTGAGATGCCCGAGCAATATAAGCAGCGGTGTAGCGAACATAGTCTACTTTCAAGTGTGGTCTAGAGCAGACACTTGCGAGATACTGTACCGACGCTCAGTGCGCTCAACTCACACCAAAGTATCACCGGTGTACTTCTGTATATTCGACCAAATATATGTATAGTATCTTGGTGTCTGTGTTTATTTGTCACCATACTTTACGTAACAATAGAACCGTTACAGTCTATACTAATCGTTATTCGTTAGTATGCGTTCGCTACTTAAAACATTTACTG